ATGTGATGAAGATACCGCACCAACAACTCCAACAACAATAACAAACTCCAGTCACCATCAACGGGAGAAACTTAAAGGAAGTAACTTCCTTCACCTATCCAGGAAGCACTGTTTCAACTACAGGCAGCACAGGTACAGATGAGGATGTCAAAGTCAGAATCGGAAAAGCAAGACAGGCGTTCATTAGCCTGAAACCAGTGTGGAGATCTTCTGCACTGCACTCAGCATGTGGAACAACATCCGGATTTTCAACACCAATTCAATCAAGTCAGTGCTTCTGTATGGTTCAGAGACTTGACGGCGCGTTACAAAAGGGATTTCAAATAAACTACAGACATTCATCAACAACTGCTTACGCTGGCTCGCTACTGAAGATCAGATGGCCAGGATAACAAGAATAAGCAACAAGGAGCTCTGGGAACGAACCATCCAAGAGCCTATCACTCAACAAATATGTAGAAGAAAGTGGAGATGGATTGGGCATACACTGAGAATGCCGACTGGACATCACGCGCCGGGCCAGGCCCTCGAGTGGAACCCAGATGGGAAGCGACGAGTCGGGCGTCCAACTGAGAGTGATATGGAGGAGGTCATGCGAAGAAGAAATGAGAGCTTCTGGGCTGTTGTGGAACCAGGTTCGAGAAATTTCAGAGAATAGAGTGCACTGGAGACGTGCTACTGAAGCCCTATGTTCCACTAGGAACCGAAGGGACAAAAATAATAATAAGAGCCTGTGCAAAATCCGTAAATAAAGGTGCATACAGTCTGTCTTGCTATGAATTGGTTTCCCCTCCTACTTGGTCTTAACTACTGTTATCACGGTGTCATCGATTTTACCATGGCTCTTCTATTTTTTCTCGAATAATACGCATTCGTAAAGTGGGTTAACAACTGTAATCCTTCATACGATGGAACATTTTTCATGTCGTTGAATTTCTTATTTTGCTTTTCACTTTCAGTGTATCATGAACGATAACTTGATTGTTTGCCGTGACTGAAATTAATTTCTTATCCTATTTTCAGACATTATTGTTAGTACACATAATACCTAGTCCCTCGATTCCTTAGAAAAATAGAAATCAGTGAGTACTAATTAGATCATTCAGATGATTCTAGAAAACAAGTTGGTGACACGTGTAATTGCCAGACCCGGTATATTTAAATTTTAAAAAATGAATACAACTTTTTGGAATGCTTTTAGAATGCAAAAGCCAAGTGTTCTATGCATAGTTGACATTGCAATAAACCCACCGAGCGTCTTAGTAGGAAAGCGAACAGCCAATCAAGTGCATCCTGAAGGTAATCTTTCAAGGGTTTACGGATGTGTGTCAGTGTATGAAATGTACCAATTTTAGTGACGATATCTCAAACAATAAGATATATTCGCCTGTTTATATTTACCAATGCGATTGTACAGCGTTAGAAACTGATATCAAACCAAAGGGAATTCGATATTAGATTTGTTTATTTGATATAAAGCGCACAGTGATACAATATTATTTAATTGATTACGTTTCGAGCATAAATTATTGCTCATAATCATATCAATGTAATCACACTTCTTTCGACATCTGATTTTATAGTCCTGTCACCTGATCTCTCTTTGTTTTTTTGTTTTTTGATTGGTAGTAAAGTTTTCCATATCTCTGGTATAGGTGTTGCGTCATTCCTATTACATGTGTTGGGTGTGGATTCGATGAACAAAGATTCAGTAATTAATCGAATCCACACCCAACACATGTAATAGGAATGACGCAACACCTATACCAGAGATATGGAAAACTTTACTACCAATCAAAAAACAAAAAAACAAAGAGAGATCAGGTGACAGGACTATAAAATCAGATGTCGAAAGAAGTGTGATTACATTGATATGATTATGAGCAATAATTTATGCTCGAAACGTAACCAAGTAAATAATACTGTATCACTGTGCGCTTTATATCAAATAAACAAATCTAATATGGAACTACATTCTACCACAGTGCCCAAGTTTTTCACTTATATCAAAGGGAATTCGATTTTCATAGTCATTAATTCTTTTCGTCAAAACCTGATGGGTTTCTTTAAACAGTTCAGCAGGAATCTTTCAAACCACATTATACAAACAGTGCACGAAACTACATTACATTTTCAAAACATTTATTGATAATATTGTTATTACTATTTGTCCATTGGGTTCCCAGTGGAACATAGGGCTTCACTAGCACGTCGCTATTCCACTCTCTTCTCTCTAGTCTTTCCAACCCGGCTCCACAACTTCCAAGAAGCTTTCAGTTCTTCCGCATACCATCTCCTCCATATCATCCTCGCCGAGCAAACTCAACTCGTCGTTCCCCCTTTGAAGGACACTCCACAGACTAGCCTGACCTAACGCGTGATCTCCCCAGTCGGTCATCCCAGTGTATGTTCAACCAAATCCATATCCACTTCATTCCCCTGCATTTCTGTTGGCCCATAGCTTCTCGCCTCGTCAGTTCGTTCCCAGAGTTACTCCTTCCCCTTATCCTCATTATTCTGACCATCTGATCTCCATCTTCAGTATCAAGTGAACGTAGGTGGCAGCTGTTCATGTATCATCTTTGCAGTTTGCTTGAAATGCTTTTCACAACGCCAAAAGTCTCTCAACCATCACATAGAACCACTGACTCACTTGACTGGCATTAGCAATGAAAATCTTCATCTTTTCATGCTTTATGCAGTAGATCACCACACTGATTTCAGATCAATGGTCTGTCTTACAGTCTTTCCAATCCCACCTTCCACATACTCACCTGTGCCACCGCCTGCAGTTGAAACGATGCTGTCTAGGTAGGTGGGTAGGTGAAACAGACTACTTCCTTCAGATTTCTCCCATTCATGGTGATTGCTGCTTCTTGTTCATGCTGTTGTTAAATGGGTATCTTCATCACCTCCATCTTCTCTACATTCACTTGAGGTCCCGTCTTCACTCCCCTGCCTCACCTCTTCTGCCAACTTCTTGGTTTTCGCCTGTAGATCTTCCAGTTTGTGCCACAAGACACTAGACATAAATCATCTTCATTCACGGCGAAATCCAAATCCTCTTCTGGGGTCTCTTCACCCGTCAAACAGCGTATGCTCATCTTCTCGCTCCTCATAGTTGTCTGTCGCAGTCCAGTCCAGTTGACCACAATCAGGAAGATCATCGGTGATAATTGGCGACAGCCTTGTCTTACTCCTTCCTGTCTTCACTTCAAAGGCATCACTGAGCTTTCCATTGTGGATAACTTGGCATGTGGCCTCATCATATAGTTGTTTAATGAGGTTGATAAAGGTTTGTGGTACTCCGCAGTGTTGAAGCAAGTGCCTGCCAAACTACTTCTCGGTCGACGCTGTCGAAGGCCTTTTCAAAGTTGTTAGAGTTGGGGTAAAGAGTTGACATGGTATTGCTTCCAGGATACGAACCTGGTTTAGTGCGGTTACAACGCAATGTCCCACAGCGACTAAGCATGCAGGTAAATGTTTGGTGTGCAAGTGTGTGCTACATTTTAAGAAAAAACATCTGAATTTTACTGCGGCAACGAATGTACACGTACATGGAAAGCTGCTCAAATATTAAGATGTATGATATTTGAGTAAGGAAACAGAAACGACTGTTATGAACAGACAGTTAGTTGAAAGTAAACGGAAATAGTACTAAAAGACACACGAATAACTGTAAAACAAATTGTTTTCTATTGTTAAAACACTGTAAACATGCATCAAAATGTTGTATAACGTTATTGCAACTACACTTAATTATCAGTTGCCATCTTACACACAAACAGAACCAACTGTTTTGAAGTTCTAGTTGAAAAGGGCGAATCAAAGAAAGCGAGAAAATCAAATTGTATGTATCACACATAACTACGCGAGATACAATACACAACTTGAATATTTCACAACCTACAAGTAATATACACACAAAAAGCACTTCGTGTAATTTTTACATCTTCAAATGACTTAATTAAAATGAATCATACATTCAGTATTAGTTGGATGGAGGCAATCGGGAGGAAGTCCTAGACCTACGTTTCGTGCTTTTTGGTACTCATCAGCAAGGGTTACCTGCAACTTTTATGGAACAGATGTCCTACCCGAGATTTAAACTCACGTCACTTAGTGCTGAATTCAGAGACGTTACAAATAGTGTATTCGGACAGCGACTGATTTGCTGTAGAACTGGATTAAACACGTTGACTGGTCACTGGAGAGTAACCAATTTCATGTTGTCTAGTCCTAAGTGCTGATCAAATTCTATCGATCATTTTGAAATGCGGCTAGGCTAGTTGACTCAACATCGCTATGTTGTTATAGTTTATTGTATCTATATGTAACACCATAAACAAAAATATCACTATGAAAATTCAGTTGCAGGTTTGTATGTTTTGACCGATTTCAAAAGTTATCATGAACTTATATTAGCTAAAGAACCATCAGAAACCTAGAAATACTGGACAGCTGTTGTATCCTCTTTCGAAACTCCTCAGAAGTGTGCACCAACAACCAACTGACATTAATCCATGACGACGACAAATTTAATAATAATCCAGTGTTCATGCGTGACACAAGTCAAGATGAATCTCCTCAAGTTCTGATGAGAAGTTATAGCCTGTGGGATGAACCAAGTCAGATGAGAGGACAAACACTTCTCGACAGCAAAGGACAGTGTTCATGCTATGTCGAAAAGTGACAGAAATGGGAAAATGTGAACCATTGGATTCCAATCTAGAGGGTAAATAAAATCACACTTGCCGTGAGACGTACCAGCTCTGTGCTCGATTTCTTATGGAACCATGAATGAACCCTGTAGAAGAATCCTTAATTAGAACAAAACGACTGTTCATTCCACTCAGGTTTCCAGTAGTTCCCCAGTTGACGTCAATTCATGATAAAAAACAAATTTTGGGATAATAATAATAATATTCGTAATAATAATAATAATACGTGTGATCAGTTTCATGATCATGAAATGATGGTCGTGTGAAAGAAAAACTTACCAGTTCTCAGCATCAGAAATCCAGAATACATTCCAAACAAAGTGGTATAGAACACTTGAAAAACTACCAATTGAAATAATAAAAATAATCCACAATTACAGTTAATTATTAAATAACAGAATCATTCACTAAAATTCAGTTATTACTATTTATTGATATACTTGTAATTCTCCGTAGTTTCATTGGATCGAATTGTTCAACCTCTATTGGCATATGGGCTCGTATGTGGATGCCTCGATATTGCCTGAATGTTAATTATGGTAATTTAGTTGGTTGTGGAGAATTACAAGTATATCGATAAATAGTAATAACTACTACCTATTGTACATGAAGTGGCTATCGTCCCTCCTTGGCATAGTGAATAATTACTTGGCGTTTAAAGTGATGGGTACGAAGTTCGAGTCAAGATGGAACAAAATCACTCACTGGGGTGTAGCTACATCTAGCTGACGAGTGCCAAACAGAACGAAACGCATGTCCTGGTTTCCTCTGCTAGCCACAACCAATTAAATTACCAAAATTCAGTTAGTTTATTACATAAGTATGGCAGTATTTGACTGTTCAAGAATATAGTCAACATGAGCTCTATAAAATAATTTGTCAATCAGCCATATAAAAATACAATTCTAAGACTAGCGAAATAAACTACTGTGAATAATTTCAGGAAGTAGAAAAGAGATTAAAAGCTCTGCTAACCACTGAACTCTTCTAAGTAAACGAAAATACTCTTTTAACTACCAAATCTCGCAATTTCCAACAATTATAATGACGGGATAATTGATACTAGGCTAAATGATATGAGGTGGATGAATAGTGGCTAGTTGTGGAATTCAGGTTGATATAAAGCATTAGAAGAATATGTACGGGTGATGCAGTAAGTAAGGGGCTGAAAGTACTTCGAAGAGTGTTCACAAAGAATGGTTATCCTTCGAGATTCATTGAAAGGAACATAAGGCCAAAGTATTTCAAAGAGGGAATCGCTACACTTCCAAAGAAGACACTATTTATGAATACTGGATTCAAAAATACTCAATAAACCGATTATGCAAAGCACTGAAGAAGACCTACTTTACCATCCAGTTTCAGATTGTTTTCTCCAGTCAACAAATTATTCGAGGGTGTGTAAAGGATAAACTACCGTCACCTCCAATTCACCTGCTCTTTTGCAGCTGGTTAAACAGGTTGAAAAAAGCGTGTTTTATTTAAACGTATAACCAAACGCTATCATCCATGTCTACTTTAAGAAGTGTAAAGCCATCAACAGCTTGATTCTTGAGCATTTGGTTAACTCTGATCACTTTGCTTCATGGGAATCTTCTTTCAAAGTCAGTAATACAGAGGCTTTAGCAATCCAGCCGTTCAAGCTTGATCTTTGAGTTCAAAAGAGATAAATTCAATCTCTGATTTAGCTTTGATCGCAATCTCCCTAAGACAATTTATTCATTTCTCTGTTTATTTAATGTAAACCTATAAGCAATTTTTGTTGACTTTCCAGCTGTTATCATCTTGTGACTTTACTGATCATTTTTGGTGAAACGGGGGGGGGGAAGGGGGGGGTTAAAACCAGCGACGACCGGGTTTCCGGCACAGTACTCTACTAACTAAGCTGAGAGACCCGACTACTGATCACATTTTTATTTCACTTCAATCGAATCCTGCCGCTGGTCAAATTTTCATATCACTTTCAATTATTACCCGGTATCAATATATTTTGTTGTAACTATGATTACGATTGTACACCTTTTGAAAATGATTCATCGAAAAGAAATTTTTTAGCTTAAGTTTTTTGTCAACTAAAGAATCTCCTAGTAAGAGACCAAGAGACTTATTTCGTAATAACCACGCTCCATTCAGTGAAATGAACCTGGAGACTAAATGATCTTCAGAAGTGGGAAATCCTTGATGCTGTCAGAAATATCGAGAAGTTATATAGCATAATGAGATGAGTATATAGAAAATGTGACGTATAAGAGTTATTTATTTCAAAGAATCTGATGAAACAGGGACTTGTCGAATTTACATCAAAATTCAGAAAAAATCAATTCAGTTAAGAGGTAAAGTAAGAAATTTTATGGAAATTAGTTGAAATTACACTTGATTCATTGAAATACAAACTTTCGCAATTTAAACACAAAAATATCACCAAGTCAACTACAATGCTGTGACTACAACAGTAACATTATGAGAGACAAACACCGGATTTTTCTCAATAAAATTTGTAAACCATAATAAATCACCAGATTCAAAAACAGTAACCTATATTCAACAATTATTTTCCAGATGGTATACTACACAACACCCCCAAAAAGGAGAATTGATATGAGAAATACATTACAACATGGTGAATATTTGTAGCTGAGGATGTGGATGCTCATTATCTTCGTGTGAGCTAGGGTTTTAGTTGGCATACGTTTCAATGCCATGCTAGAAAATGCGACCAGTGCATCAAAACTTCACAAGGAAGTGAAGTAATGATCTGTACTTAGATATTTATAACGTGCGACTTCGCCCTATTCTAACTTGATTGGTAGCTTGTGGACCGTGGGGATACGCCAAACCTGATTGCCTGGCATCTTGACTCTAATTTTTCAGACGGGTATACAACTATGTGGTTGATTAATACTTTTATTTGACTGAAGTAAACGTTGCCTTGATCTAATTGGTTGACTCCTTTGTATTAGAAGGGTGTTTCACGCCGATTTGCTACAATTGAATGGGCGTTCTTTGATACTAATGGCTCGTAAGGTTTTACTAAGGAAAAGAGAATATTTTGCATTGATTAAGGACAGGAGTTTGGCTTTGTATACCTGAGTTATCTTGACCTTTGTTTGTATCAAGGATTTCCCAGCGTTTAAATTGGTTGACCGATGACATGGATTTGTTTCGAAAAGCCTCGTATATTGCGTCTAGGTCAACATGGCGACTTACTGTACACCGGCTTAAGTGCTAGACGATCAAACGTTCTTGGGCCCCTTTTGAGTTACACGTTCCAGTATTATTTGTTCTAGTCAAATGTCTAGCTTTCAGTATACTAAGATGACAGACTTCATATAATGACGTTTGACAGATAGCTTGCATTCATGCAGGCGTTGATTATCCTATGTAGTGAATTTGCAGATCATGTTCGTCATTTCTTCTTTTTTGACTGGGTATATCGGTTTGCATTAAATATTTTGTTGGTTTATGGGATAATCTGATTCCAAGAGGATGCAGCAAACCAACTGCCGTCTCCATGATATTCTTGATGTATGGAAGGGTGATTCTTCTGTTAGTTTTCGTAGTGCATCTTGATTTTGTTCGTTTGCAAGGTCAAAATGCACTCAGCAATCTTTTGCACATTCGTGCACTAGGCAAGGAGCTACACCTATTGTGTGACGTCTAATGATACTACCTGGCTGCCCAAACCTCAGTACGTAGAGGTGTTCGAACCCGTAACCTACTGGTTGAAAGTCAACTCCCTGAACTAAAGAGCCCCAGCCATACCGTTTGGAAAGACATCGCTTTATGAAATTATTTAAACAGTGACAAAGTTGGAAGTTTTCTACCTAACATTCCTTTCTCATATCTTTGATTCTATTGTCCAGTAATGTATTTCTGCACGCCTAAATAGGGTTGTTACACAGTTCTTCTTGCGTGACATGGAATTGTTGTTGTTGTTGTTGTAATTTAGGATCTAGTTTGTATCAGTTGTTTTCTAGTACACTTCAGTCCTAAGATGTTCAACTCGACTAAAAATGCCAGTTATCTGTTGCTTTTTCTTCTTTGATGAATTCGATTCCTTTGAAAAGATTATTGATCATTTTTTGAGCAGCTTCAGTATCCTCCTTATTGAGAATGACGAACACGATATCGACGTACCACACTCACAACTTCGGCTTGACACTTGGCAGGCTTACCAACGTCAATCGTTGCATTACTGCTTCTATAATGACCACTGAGATTAGTGATCCCATTGGAGCCCATATTATTTGTTCGTATACTTCTCCGTTGAACTGAAAGTATGCGAATAAGAAAAAATACTTAACATCTAAAATTTTGGTATTTTGAAACTTGTATGCACTTGTAAATCGCAATTCCTTTGAAGTATGCTGAGAATAGTTTTTCTTACAAGCTTGTGTGATACAGAAACATATCACCGTCTTATCATCACATATTTTGATAACTTTGATTTTTTTTCTAGGAATTGAATTGGTTGATTTATTGATACTGCTCAGATTTCCTGTCAGGTACTTTGACGAATTGCATGTTGAAATTTTGGGAGTGAAATAATTGAAGACTTATGGATCTTCCGTAACATTTATTCCATGTTATTGGTCCAACTACTCATAAGTAACTATATTTAAGACATTTGCTCTGGTTTCATCTGATTGCCTGTTTGTTGCTTGGTTAACGTAATGAGTTGACCGTCAGGCATGTTGACTGCAGCTTACATGTCTTACTGTTATACAACCTTGGGTGAGCCTTCAATTATTGAAACAAATGATAACTATTAAACTGGAGAATGGTAATCTGAATGAAACGATCAACCGGATGATGCCTCAACAATGAGATTGGTCCCTAAGAAATAAGTTTTACAGTGTTCAACCGGTAATCAAATTCGCAACAGAAGGGGGATGTAATGACAGCATTCGATTTCTCAATATTCTACTTGTAAGAAACCTGAATGGAACTTTGAAATGAACTGCATATAGAAAGATAACATCGGTAGGTCAATATACTCACTTCTTAGTGCCATATCTTATCAATACAAGCGAAATGTGGTGAAATGTAAAGCATATAATGTAATAGATATCTGGTGTGCTGATGCCATCGAAGAAAAATTCACTATATGTGACCTACTTAGTGAAAACGAATATCACACCAAGTTTGTAACTAAGCATATGAATGTCGTGAAGGCTAAGTCAAGAATGACAACAGTTTCTAAGAAACCAATCTTCTTGAAACTAGAATTCAATAGTGACACTTAGTGAGATCATCACGCAACGTATGAGTCCTACAAAGAGCATTCCAGCTGTCAAATAACGTCCCATCTACTGCAAATGTTCGATTCTAGGTGCAAGAAG